TGTTCTGGGGAATTAACCCTGTTCCCTCTCCACAGGCTGCATCACCATCGTGGGCCTGCTCTACCACAGCATGCATCACTTCTTTAACAACATCAGCCCCGAGGACACCAGGTGAGTGCCTGGCTGCTCAGGTGACAATCCAGGCTGAGCACACTCAGGTGACCCCTCAGCCATTCCCAAAGGGCATTTCCCAGTGGTTACTGGCTGTGCTGCTGGCTGCTCACCCTCAGGTGATCCCTAAATGGCATTTCCCAGTGGTTACAGGCTGTGCTGTTCCCTGCCCTGCTCTCTCACAGGTGGCTCTAAGGCAGCTCTGCCTCCACTCTGCAATATTTTGTGCTCACGTGAAGAAATTGGGGCAATAACTTAGCAGAGCCTATGTTTTCCAAAGAGCAGGATCAGTGCAATTTGTTAGGGTAATAAGATGTAATCTCAATTTTTCAAAGGGACAAAGAGAATTACAGTGATCCTGGCTCAGGTCAAAGTTTGCTGAAGATGCTGCATGTCAAAGCTCTGTATTTAAAGCACTGTCAGATCCTGGGGATGTGGCACACAAAAGGAACAGATCTGTGATCTTGGCGTGCATTCCCTGAAATCTGCGGCAGGACAGCCTGGAGATCCATTCCTGCTCCCCTGAGCTGGGTTTGATTTCAGCACTCATTTTCAGAATCAAGGGTCTGCCCTGTTCACAATTGTAAAGAAACACAAAATCGCTGGCAAAGAAATGTTTCCTACATTTCTACAATTAACTCAAACCGTAATGTCTGCAGTATATCATGCACTACGAGATCTTGTCCTTAAACCTGTAGATGCAGGTCTGCCCAAACCAGCATCCAAAAAGGTAATAATTCAGGGAATGCTGCATCCAAAAAGGTAATAATTCAGGGAATGCTGCCTTAGCTATTCTTTCTCTGTGGAGCCAAACCCCAGGTATTCAAAGATGTTTTAAAATAAGTATGCACTTATTTTCTGCTTGCTTTTCTTTTTTGTGCCTACTGTTATAACTTTTTTGCTTACTTTTCATAGATTTTTTTTTTTTTCTCAGAGTAGTTTGTTTTAGAGAATTTCTTTTGTGTCCTTCTACCACTGGGCTACTTCCACACCTGTAATTTGAAACCCACCCTTCTTTTCTTGTGGTGGAAAGCCAAAACCAACACTCTTGGAGCTTTTGTGCTGTGCAGACACAGAGCTATTTTCAGGCTCCATAAATACCAGTTTCTGAGGGGAGCAGCTTTTGATTGTTCACCCAGAGAAGATGAAACCCAGCAATGTTTGAGCCCATCCTGCTGCTGCTCAGGGCAGTTTGTGTAAACGTGGGGCTGGCACCAGGGCCAGGGTGAGGAAAGGCTTTGCAGGAGCTCCATTCCCCGATTCTGGCTTTGCAGGAGCTCCATTCCCCGATTCTGGCTTTGCAGGAGCTCCATTCCCCGATTCTGGCTTTGCAGGAGCTCCATTCCCCAATTCTGGCTTTGCAGGAGCTCCATTCCCCAATTCTGGCTTTGCAGGAGCTCCATTCCTTGCTGCTGGTGAGGGTTTGTCACACTCCAAAATTCACCAGGGTCTCTGAAGGGAAAACAAGCAGAGGAAGGGTGTGGGGAAAGCATCCACGTTCCTAATCTGGGTAGGAGAAACCCCAAACTGTTGGATAATGAGTTTAACTTCACAACTCCTTACCTAAACTGAAATTTGCTGTATCAGAGCAGCAAATTCTGCCTCAGATGAACAAGTCCCATTCCCGGCAGGTTTCTGGGAGCAGAAGTAATCTCTGGTGCTGATGGGTTTTTAAGGTCAGAACTGAAGGGTTGTGCTAAATGAGTTCTGTTCTGTGACAAGGAGCTGAGAGCAGTTATTTCAGCCTCTGACGTGAGGTTTTTGGGGTTTTTCTGAAACAAAAATAAGAAACCACTGCAGACAGGTGGTGGGTGCAAACAAGGTGGTTTTTCATCTGTTTCTGGCCCTTTCCAGGTGGGCTGTGTTTGGGAACCCAGGCTGGTGGTAATTCACCCAGGCTCACATTTCCCTGGTGAAACCCATTAATCCACTGCTCAAGGCACAGATGACAGCAGTCATTTATTTAATCCTCCAGTTTGGTACTGAGAGGGTAAAAAAGTCTACCCTGAAACCTGATGGATCTCAGTTACTCCTGAATGTGTGAAAATGCCAAACTCATAAGTTTTACCTAAAAATAAGGGTTCTTATGTACTGCAAAATGACTTCCCCCTAGAATAAATTCATTTCCAGTCTAATCAGCTATTTAGTCCAGTTCAGCTGTGTGTGTTGTGACCTGTCTTTCCCTCCAACAAATCTAGTTGGACATAATCTATTTTTCAAGGTAAAGCTACAAATCACCTCTAAATACATTCCCGTGTTTATTTTGTGCAGTTTGTCTGTGTGTCTCACACACTGATTTATCTGTTTAACCATCCAGCCCCCTGCCAGTTTCCTCCTCGCTTTCAGGAAATTGTTTGGATCCCTCCTTGGGATTCTCCCTAATTCCCTCCTTGAGATTCTCTCTGATTCCCTCAAACACTTCCAGCAAGGCTTGAGAACCTTTGCAAGGAGAAGTAGTGTGAAGGAGGAGCTTTGCTGGCAGTCCCCAGTGTCCAGAGCTGTTCCCATCCTGTACAG